AGTGGAACTCTCTCCCTATATATATATATATATATATATATATATATATATATATATATATATATATATATATAACTGGGGAGGCAGATTCAGCCTCTTCTTGAGCTCTTTGGGCCAAGTTAAAAGAAAGCAACCTTATCGTTTGGTTGCTGTTCATGAACTGCAAAATGGCTGTCGCTTTGGTCACTTCATGGAATGATGTCACGAAGCGGCCGTCATGTGTCACACGTGACTTATCTCCACCAAAGAGAGATAAGCGCTATCTGTTTTTGTATTCTTAAACGCACACACACATACACACACACAAACACAAAAAAACAAACAATATCAAGTCGTCTGAAGATCGTGTGAAACTCGAGTTACAACTAGAGCCATCCTTTCAGAGGATTTAACGTTGGTAAGCGTTTTTTGCTGAGTCTAGGCAATCTGGGTTTCGAGCACTTTACTGGGTAGGTGTGTTTGCTTCTAGGCATTTCTTTTTCTTTCTATTCTTTACTATCGTCGGATTTATTCGAGACTGTATCTGGATAAGAATCTTAGGTTTTGGTAAGTTGTCTATTGATTCCTCTAACGAATGTTTGGGTAGCTTGTAGGAAGTAGGTCGTTCCGCAAAGTATATATATATATATATATATATATATATATATATATATATATATATATATATATATGTGTGTGTGTGTGTGTGTGTGAGAGATCTTTTCTACCTTTGGTGCCTCTATTTACGATGTGTGATTTCTTCATGAACTTGCAAACCTGTTTCTTTCGGTCGGCCTGAAGAAAGCGGCGTCTGATTTGGTTTGCCCATTTAACAAGACACACTGCAGGGTGTATAAATACAAAGCACCCAGAAGACGCCATTTTCAGTCATCTAGCTAGTCAGACATCCGTTCACTTATTCTTTGAGATCAAAGGAAACGCGCTACGTTACATTTTGGTGTCGGAAAAATGAAAGGAAAAAGACAGCGGGAACATCGTCTGCAAAATTTCTGAATTACAAATTAGTAGCTTGTGGCAATTTCTCGCTTGTTTGTTTGGAGTCCCTATGATTTTGTTCTTTTAGACTCTACTGTCTTCATCTATGTCTTTATATCTGTGCTGTATCTTTCTTTTCTTTTAGTGATTTCCAGAGTGTTTTCTTTGCCTCTAATACCTGGAATTATGGTTCGACCCCAGGTCACTTTCAGCTCAAAAAAAGTAAATAAATCTAAAACTAGCAACAGTAAGAACAACAACACTACCCCCCCTGTCCCGCCTCCCAAAAGAAAAACCTGTTTGATTTATCAGTTCGACACAAGCAAGGAGATAATACCACTAAGACGCGAGGGCCTACTGAGAGTGAAAGAGAATAAAAAGACTTTAGAAAGAACCGAAAACCCAATCCTAAAGAGGAATCAAGATATAAACCGCTACACCTATTCAAAAGACCAGGGAGGAGTGTGAACTGGACGATAGGCGAACCTATCTACTCCTATTTCGAATACTAATTTTCAAGAAAGGTCGTAGCGCCATTTGGAAAAAAATTCGCAATGGTTGGATATTTGAAAAAACAGGTTCTTTTTAGAGTAATGTTCACCCAACACAATGCCCAAGAGCCAAACAATGTAGAGGATTACTGAATGAAGGTGTATGATATGAACGTAAGTGAAAGAAGTAAGAAGTGTAGATTGACCATAAGTTTGAAGAAGTTACGATTGTAGGCTCACCTTCACAACTACGATGATCTCCCCTTCTTGCTGAACATGAAAACAAATTCCTCCAATTATACCTACAAGCACATACTGACCAAAAACATGAAATAAAACCCGCTATACTAAAACTAATATAGTTTGTTTCGAAAAATATACAAAATAAATAAATGAATAAAATTAAATTTAAAATAAATAAATAAAATATGCAATCTACTGGCCATGAATATAAATAGAAGAATTGGTTTTCTCCTTCTCTCACGTCTCTTAATCCCCCAGTGACCTATATACAGAGTTCACTAAAATAATAGTGACACATAGTCTGAAGATCGTGTGAGGCATGAAAGTGTTGATTGTTATGGCCACATTTTTATTTCTTACACACACACAGACACACACACACAATGTCTAGATCAGTATTTCTCAACCGGTGTTCCCTGGAAGCCTAGAGTTCCACGAGAAAAATTGATAAATAGGCTAATGCATTTTTTTAAAAATAATTTTTGTACGGCATTTTGTTGTAAAATCCTTGGTTATTTTAATAAAAGCTTCAACCTATTTAAAATTATAATAATCATAGGGAATGCATTTAGGCGTCAGTATGAAACCGCCTCCAATGGTTAGAGGCCAGAACCTGTATGTGGTGGGTTTGTGTATCCTTGTGTGATTCACTCGAGTACAGGACGCATACATGGTGTCCATATATTATGCTTTCTACATGAACTTCGATAAAATATAAACGAGATAGCTATTAGTAAAGGTATATAACAATTTTTATACATGGGTTACCTGAGACATGAAAATTATTTCAAAGGTGAGACAAGTGTGAGAAATGCTGATCTAGATATATGAATGTGTGTCTAGCGGTTGTCGATACGGTAAGTGTAATCGGTGAGCCGGGTTTGTCACGTTCACTTTTGGCAAAATAACCCTGGGGAAGGTTATGAATCCATCTTTTCTATTCCCACTCGGACGGACTGCGTTCTCTAGCCTTGGTTGGCAACCAGTCTAGGAGAGGAATATCTGGCAACTTCACCTGCGTTGAAACCTATCTGCAACTTGGATACGGACATGCGTTTTTTCGTACCTCAGATAACTTAAAAATCAACAGGAGATTCATCTTTCGCCTTTAAGCTCATTTATACAGGAGTAAGCTTGATTTTCACTGGGTGGCCAATACTTGTGACGTTTTGCTGTACCCAGGAACGCTTTGTATAAAAGGGGTTTCGTCTTTATGAAGCATTCGTTAATTAGTCTTGCAGACCATTTCTTCAGAAGTGAGTTAGATCCTTGTCAGGTGACCCACATTTGTGGTCTTGTACCCTATTGAGCTAAGCTAAGCTTGTTAATTTAGGGTACTCTGCACATGGGGAATAGTTAAGAAGTTAATATCGCGGACTCTCAGAGTTCGATCCTTATTGGATATCCTGCGAGAGCACTCTTGTACTGTCGTAAGTTAAACTTAATGTACTGCCTCTGTAAAGCAATTGTTTTGAGGCGATAATCCTCTATTGTTATTACTGCAATAATCATTAAAATAATAATAAAAAATGTGATTTATTTTTAATAAAGAGTAACGATAACAGAACGGATTATATAACCAACTTGTTCACATATATTGAGAGAGGGTGGAAGAAGAAAGAGATGGCATCGTTTTGATATATTTTAGTTAATGATAAACAGACGCCATTTCATAGCGTATTGGAGAAAAATCAAAAAGACATTTCCTTACAAAGTTCATGAAATTTCAAAATAGAAACAATTGCAAACGTAAACGATGTCTTCTTAAACGGCCGACTTATGAGAAAGAGAGAAATACTAGATAAATCATTTTACAATGATTAAACTATAATTTCTTTTCTTCTGGGGAGCGTTTTAACCGATGCCGGAAATCTGAGGGCGCATTTTAATAGCAATAGCAACAGATGTCTTCTAAAACCTCGAGAAAGTGAATGCAACAGAGATGTAATTCTACAGAAGGATGTTGAGAATACCATGTAATAAACAAGGAAGTTTGAAGGCAAAATGGGCTCGAAAATGACACTTAGAATCCCAAAGAGTACATGAAATTTCTAGGACACGTAATGAGGAAAGAATGCTTAGAATATTTATTAGGTTGGTGCAAAAATAATGACGTAATCATGTCGTTCTTTGACGTTAAAAAATACGTCAAAAAACGACATTATTACGTCATTATTTTTGTACCAACCTAATAACAACCGCATGACATATCGAAGCCATGACGGACAGAAATGAAATAACGAATAAGCTACCTCACAAGCATGTCAATGCATAGCAGAGCAAAGATTAAGAGGATTAATCAAAAGACAGGCATTGCTAAGAGCTAAAGAGGATAGTAATTTGTGGAGAGCTATGATCGCCCACGTCCTGAAAGGATACGGCACATGAAGATGAAATAATGTTTTTATAATGTTTCAACTATTCTAAAAAAACCGACACGACGCGTGAAGAATAAAGATGATGATGACATAGCAGAAAAACAAAAAAAAAACAAAACCTATTTGATCATGGTTTATGAGAGCACAAAGTAATAAGACATTCATCTTCTTTATGTGTCGTGTCCCCTCAAGATGTAGGTGATCATTGCTCTTCAGTTTCCTGTTCTTTTAATAAATCTTGTCTTTTTGTTATTTCTCCTAAACCCTGTTCTGTCCTCCATTTACTCAAGCTCACTATGTAATGTGTTGTTTTCCTATGTCCCTCTTGCCTTCAACCTGTCCTGTGAGTATCAGATTTTCCAAGCACTCTTTCTTCATTTTGTGCCCTAGAAATTTCAACTGTGTCTTCCTGATGATATATATGTCTCCTTTTTGTTTCCATTTGCTCACATATTGTTAGCAACCCTATAGGATGAAAGATAAGACCTATCAAAGAGCAGAAGGACAGCTAACTAGAGGGGGGTGTCTCAATCAGATACTGGATAATTTATATTTAATCTTACTCCGGAAAGCAGGAAAATGGTCCGAAATATAGAAAAATAAATAAATAAAAATCCATAACAAGTCACTTTTGATTGGCTGTAAGCAAATTTTGTATAAATGAAAAATTGGTGCCCAAATAAACTCTATACCACCACATATATATTAGTGGACACTAAGGTCATATAATTACTTGTATTATGAGTTTTCACAGTTCCATAAAAATTTTGTAAAAATCCACTACATGATACTGGCAGGTGGACTCGCTATTGCAAGAGATGTAACTAAGTTTACTGTCATTACACGGATAATAATAAAAAACGAAAACAAAAAAAAAAAACTTACAATTATATTGGTGTTCTTTATTGCAACATTATATATATATATATATATATATATATATATATATATATAGAGATAGATAGATAGATAGATAGATAGATAGATAGATAAAGAGAGATAGATAGATAGATAGATAGATAGATAGATAGATTAAAGAAAGTCCATGGAAACAGAGAAGCCACTCAGGCAAAATATCTGTTAACAAAGAAAATATGCAGACAGTACGACTCTATCAAAACGTATATAGTAGCCAATAAACGCAAATCAAAACACACCAAAATGCAAAATAAGAAAATAAGAATCAGTTTTTAACAATCGATCAAAAGTATATAACTGTTGTAGCATGCCTACGGACGATAATGGGTTATGTCCCCATTCACATAAATACAGTAGTAAATACTGTATGCTGGTCTGCAGTCGAAGATTCGTCTCCAACTGTGCTGGTCACACTCACTGCCTCAGGATAGAGAGGATCCCCAGACGAGGCAGTCTCATCTCGGGAAACGGCTACCCGACCCCGTTTTATACGGAGTCTACGGGGAATTTTTGGCCGAACCCACGGGCTCGGATACCCCACATTAATTTCGGCATTGTGCCACATCTGATTGCGTTGGGCGGTTGGTAGATATCCTGAAGTTGGTGATTTATTGTAGAATTCACTTGACTCACTTCTAGCAGTTGACTACTTCTACGCGCCGCTGGCGAATCTTATATGTGTTATTCTTGTCCTAAGTATTATCGTTAATTACCAACCTTCGTGTGATTATTCTCTTCAGTAACCTTCCCTAGATTACAACAATAACCTTTGTCCAGAGAAGAAAATATGAATAATAAACTTTCCGTAACAAAATATCAGATCTCATTTCTAAACTCAGACACGAAAACAATTTCCTTCCGCGCTTCTTATAACCACATCATAACCAAAGAGACTAAATAGAATTCTATAATCTAATTCTAATAAACTTTATTCCATATACCAAAAATTATAAACAAAGAAAAATACATAAGGAAAATCTGTCCAAAATCTCTCTTTCTCTCTCTCTCTCTCTCTCTCTCTCTCTCTATATATATATATATATATATATATATATATATATATATATATAAGCAATCTAAATGCCGTGACAATAAATAAACCTCGCCTATATACATACATTCTCCAATCACCCAACCAGTATAAATAAGCAATCTATATGTTATGATCGTAAAAATTTCCATTAGCCCTAAGCAAACTTTAATTAAAAATAAATGGACAGAATCAGTTTCATCTTCCGCAACTGAATTTAGTCTCTCAGTGACCTATATATACAGCCCGCTAAAAAATTAGTGGCCGGCACTAGGCGTGAAAATAACATTCATCATGAAGTGTTGATTAATTTGTCCACACCGTATTTGTTTGTGTACAATGGGAGTGGTAGAAACGAGCAAGGGAAAGAGAAATACGTGCAATATATATCAAATTATATCAAATTATATAGAAATTACTGAAAGAAAAAGGATATGTACAAATATATACATTAATATACGCATACACGCAGATATGTGTACAGATAGATAGAGAATAATAAGTTGAAATTAATTCATAGCAATGAACAGAATGAGATAGAAATTAATAAGCTTAAAAATTAATTATTTATAACAATGAAGAAATGAGATAGATAGATAGATAGATAGATAGATAGATAGATAGAAATTAATGAACTAAAATTAATTTATAACAGTGAACAGAATGAGTTAGATAGTATAGAGATTGGTAAACTAAAATTAATTTATAGCAATCAAGAGAATGAGATAGAAAATAATAAGCTGAAATTAATTTATAGTACTAATCAGAATGAGATAGATAGATAGATAGATAGATAGATAGAAACAGACTGAGATCGACAGATATGAACATGCTGAGATAGATTGATAGATAATGTAGAGTCTGAAATAGATAGATAGATAGATAGAAACAGACTGAGATCGACAGATACGAACATGCTGAGATAGATTGATAGATAATGTAGAGTCTGAAATAGACAGATAGATAGATAGATAGATAGATAGATTAATAAGCTGAAATTAATTCATAGCAATGTACAGAATAAGATAGAAATTAATAAGGTTAAGAATGTATTTATTTATAGCAATGAGCAGAATTAGATAGATAGATATACTCAGACTGAGATAGATAGATAGATAGATAGATAGATAGATAGATAGATATACTCAGACTGAGATAGATAGATAGATATACTCAGACTGATATAGATAGATAGATAGATAGATAGATAGATAGATTAATAAGCTGAAATTGATTCATAGCAATGTATAGGATAAGATAGAAATTAATAAGGTTAAAAATGTATTTATTTATAGCAATGAGCAGAATTAGATAGATAGATAGATAGATAGATATACTCAGACTGAGATAGATAGATAGATAGATAGATATACTCAGACTGAGATAGATAGATAGATATACTCAGACTGAGATAGATAGATAGATAGATAGATATACTCAGACTGAGATAGATAGATAGATATACTCAGACTGAGATAGATAGATAGATAGATAGATAGATAGATAGATAGATAGATAGATAGATATACTCAGATTGAGATAGATCGATTGATAGATAAATGAACCGAATGAGATAGATTTAAATTTACTTGATTAATTCAATGATGGTTCACAGCTTGGAGTTTGTGGGAAATGTCGATTGGGTTCATAAACATATGAAGATCTGTTTAAGAAAAAGATTACAGGAACCATAGCTGGATAAAAAAATACATTCCCTCTTGAAGTGGGATATCAACGTATTTTAACCAATTCAACTTCAACATACCTGACTAAAGCGGGAATGGCTAGATCAGAAAGCAGAAATATAGTTTCCAAATTTGTGCATAAAGTTGGCATTCCACGTTGCGACAGAAATCAACGAAGCTTAATGATGTAAGGGCAGGTTGGTTTAGGGGCAATAATCTTTCAGCCCCGAAATCATGCCTGACCTCCAGGGACATTATCTGTTGACGACTTTGTTGGAGCCATTGTTAGTGTTTTCTCTGCAGTAATTCTGCGAATCTATTGTTCACTCTGTATTTTCTACCCTGTCGAATTATTTGAAAATAACGTGAAAATATATAAGCATGTAATACTTCTAAAATCCAACGGTGGTCGGTGTCATGCTCGGAATGATCCGAGTTTGAATTCCAGTTGAGTTCGTTATATTCGCTTACATTTAAATACCCTTGGGAAAGGTTTCAATACATTTCTTTTTTCCCCAAGGTATGGGTTAAATAACAGGACTATGGAATAATCAGTGTTTTTTCCTAAAAACTGTTAATGCAATATGCGCTCGAAAGAAAATAATTATTCTGATAATTCCAAATATGTTCCAGCTTTATGCAACCCACAAAGGGTTGATAAGCCATAAAAATCAAATCAATCAATAAATTCTAAAATCCACGGTTACAGTTTTTTGTATGTGCCGTGTCGTTTCAGGACACGGGAGATTATGATTCTCCACAATTATGCCTCTTCATATATATATATATATATATATATATATATATATATATATATATATATATATATATATATTCAAACATATATTGTTAAATATAACTGTCAACGAATGTATATTATGTTTGATCATGAGCCGCTCTAAACTTCGTATATTTGTTTTAAATTCGTGAGAAAATATTTTAAGCAAAAAATTTAACAGTATATGTTTGAATAATGATCTGCTGCCCCAATACATTATATATATATATATATATATATATCTACTTTTAAGGCATGCTATATTTATGGGTAAAAGTGCTCAATATCCCGATAGAGCGTATATATATTGCAAATACACGCCATACTAATTTCACGGAGTTGAATCGGCCTCATTTCCTCCGTATACCAAATTTTTGGTGAAGCTTCCAATTAGTAAGCTGTACTACTTTGTGGCACAGCCTCACTTCAGTTCCTACCACAAATCCTTTCACTTATATCACAACTTATTCATCATAACCATTTTAAACAGTAAATCTTTAACTTGAGTGGCTCCCGAACATTCTCTCGAGTGAAATATATTGATTTGAAAATCGCTTGAAGCGTAAAATTGTGTCAACATGCAGTGTTGATTCCTATGTCCGCACCGCATCTATTTTAAATGCTATGTCCTTTCAGACCGTAGATGATAATGGATCTCCACAAATTCTGTTTTCTTATTATCTATTGATTGCAATGAATTTGAATCATTTCACTCGAAGCAAGGTGATAAAGCCACTAAGATGCAAGGAGTTGATGAGAGTGAGTCTGAGAAAAAAATATTAATGAGATAGGAAAATAAACATGAAAGGATTCAAGGAGCCAGAAGATGATGATAGATATATTGTATTTAAATTTTTCAAGATCAAAGTTGAATGGAAAGCCAGAAGCAGGAAGAGAGCCCAACATCTAACAATTTAATATATAAAATGATAAGATCTAGTACTGCACTTAAATTCGTGAAATCGACGCACCAAAGAATAAATCTCATCAGGACAACTCTTTCCAGATATTTAAAGTTTCGTACTTGCATGATTTTGGTATTTCCAATTGTTAGTATGCATTTTGGATTGTTTTTTCTTGTGGACAATCATAGATTCCTTTCTTCTTACAATTTTATGCTTAGTCCTTTCTTTTCGCTTTCCTTTATTACTTTCTGTATAAGTTCCCGCAGTTTTCTTTTTGTATCATTCGCTTGTATCCACCAGTAATAAATCCGGGTAGAAATTCTGCAGGATGCCCAGTAAAAAAGCGGCAAATTTATTATCATTGTTTTATCTTTCAGGAATAATTAACCTTAAATAAATTTCTTGAATATTCATGACCTTGAATAATCATTCGACTCTCGCGTAATTACTTAACACTGATTGGTTCTTTTATGATTGAATTATTGCTGCTCGATCTTGTGGCTATTTACAAACAACTTTCGTCTTTCATTCTGCCCTTCTCGTATGGCTAAACAACTCCCTGATTTTGAGCGTCAAGTTAACGTACTTTTCAAAGAACATCCAACGTGGGGATTGACGAAATGTGCAGAAATTCTTCCTGAATTTTTCAATCACATCAACCGTCACCAATTTTCAATGGTTGTCTCATGTCTTTCTGAATTTATTGCTTTTTCACTGGGAAACCTGTATTTCTATCAAGATCATCTCGCTGGAAACGTTGAATAAGTTTGCTGAGAAAACACATCCTTAGCTTAAGCCTGTTTTTATTTTTGTCTATTACTGAATTAATCACGCAAGTAACTGTTACGCTACACGTATATTTATATATTTTCCCTTGACTATTCTAACTCTAGAAGAACCTGTTTAAAGTCTATGTTTGTGTTCGAGTCCTGTTGATCATCGCTGGTCATTATCTGGAGCATTAACGTCGAGTAAGTGAAAGACAAAATGGGAAAGAAAATCTATGTAACGTGTTTCGGCCTGCAAACAATGTTCTCATTGGCAGAATTATATACTTATGTATGGAGAAGGGGAGAACATATAAATAAAAACGACGGTTATAATTATATATCGAGTACGAAACGCTGAATATGTTTAAACTTTAAATATAATTTTAAATTTCTAACGTCTGCTGTGTCTAGACGTACAAATTAGCCGATTTCATACAACTTGCCAATGCTTTTGCTTTTATCGTTGTTTTTGTTAAATAGCCTATATTTTGATAGTAAATTTGTTAAGACGAAATGTGGTATGAACCTGACCAGAAATATATTTTATAATTTCGAATCCTCTTTATATATATATATATATATATATATATATATATATATATATATATATATAGAGAGAGAGAGAGAGAGAGAGAGAAGATTGTACAAAAGCCGCAAAAACATCTAGGTGTTAGTTAAAGTTATGATAGGAGATTCGTTCTCTGCGTAGATCTTAGCAACCGAAGCATATGATTTTACTTTTTTTTCGCTTCATAGAAGCAATTTACAGCATTAGCATATCTGAATGGTTAGTATTATTATTCCAACGTTGTTTTTTTCACTTCATAGAAGCAATTCGCAGCATTAGCATATCTCAAAATATATTCCCTTACATCAATTTTTAATTTAATTTAAAAAAAAAAATTTTTAAGACAATTTAAAATCTTTTTCACCATCAATTGTTAAAACACAAGTTAAAATCATTTACTTATCATCAATTATTGAAAGAAATATAGAAATCTCTGAATATTTTAAGCACTTCAGGCATAACAATCTCTGTAAATCCAAAATTTACCCTCGGGCATGGATCTCTTGCCAATGCACTTCAGGTGCACATACCGAGGACAAGAGTTGCAGACCATGTTGTTTAAGTCCTGACTACACAGTTCATACAACCGCGGCGCTGGCGATCTCAAATATTAGTTATTCTTAGTTCTAAAACACTATTTGTATATGTCGAAAAATAGCCTTGGTGCCTATTTTACTGGCACCGGCAAAATAGCCTTGATGTCTAAATGGACAATCAACGGGATGCTATTTTACCGGGACCGGCAAAATAGCTTATTCGTTTTTTTAATTATACACGATCATTTATAAACTTGAAGCCTCTAATTATTTCTGTTATTCGAAAAAAAATGACTCTTGTTCTGTTTACTTATTATTTTTTATCCTTTACTTTAAGTTTCAATTTTTTTTCCCAGAATTGTTATTGACCATGGATTTACTATAAGAGAAAGTAAACTGTGTTCTTTGGCTGATCTAAAATCTGTCGCTGTTGTCTAAGAAGGTTTAGAACTCATTACAATAAAGAAGCACTACACATGAACTCAGTATCAAGTGTAAGTGAAGCAAGTGTAGCAGCTGTAGAACAACATAATAAATTAAACATTTTTATTAATCTTTTTACAGATTAATTCAATCATGCAAAGATACAAAACTATAATTACTTAAAATTGCACACGGACTTTATAAACTCCCTGTATGTGACCGTGACATAGGATGTCACACCAAACGCACCCCGTTGACTTTCGTTTCTTTTCGCCTTCATACTTTGTACCTATTCCACTTCGTTTCCTTTCCTGTCTTCGTTTCGCAATTTCGCGTCACTGAATCAAGCTTGTATCCTTCTGAGTGATAACGTCGAAAACACTCTCGGAAGATATTTGGGGGTGAAAAAATAAAATAAAAAAAAAAATTCTGATAGCGATAAATCGGAAGAAAATAAATAAAAATTCCACTCCTTGAAAACATAAAATCAAAGACAAAGAAACCGAAAGTTCAAATTTAATTTAATCCAACCACTGTTCTCGCTTCATGATATTCGGTGACATTCGGTTTATTTCGGGTGCACTCGCAAAACGATCAGGGTCACACCAGCGGACGATTATTTTGATTCCATTATCACTGTTAATGCAGTTTTGGAAAAATAATGTGTTGATGAAGGTCTTGGGGTAAAAAGAGATGGAAAGATGATATTTTTGGTCCAGTTAACACACCGTTTTGAAGAAATTGTTTTGTTTTTAATTATGTTCTGCAGACGACTGTGCCAAAAGAGGAGTGGCAATTTACACTGAATCTCTTAAACGGGTTATAGGCCAAACGTTTGGCGGCACCTTCTGGATTTCGAAGAATCGTCTAAAATTTGAAAAAATTTTCAAAAGTAATTTACGAGCTCACTTCAGGCTAGATGGTTTTCTCTTCCTGAAGGGTTTTATCATATATTCAGTAATAATAACGAAATGAATCCATTACTGCATAAAGTTTCCTTAAAATTTGAGATCTTTTAATTTAATTTACCTTGCTGGCTCATAGCAATTTTAGGGATGGTCTATTTTACATTTAAGGTACCCTACTCTCTCTCTAAAAAAAAAAATGCACTAATGAGTTTCAGCAACCGAGTTTAGTTCTTCTTTATGTACCGTGTCCCCTCAGGACATAGGCGATCATGGCTTTCCACAATTTCCTATCTTTTGTAGCTCTTAATAAGTTTTGTCTTTCTGTTATTTCTCCTAAAGCCCTGTCCCGCCATCTATTTACTCAAGCTCACTAAGTATGTTATGCGTTGTTTTCCTTTGTCACTATCGTCTTATATCTGTCCTGTGAGTATCAAATTTTCCAAGCCCTCCTTCCACATTATGTGACCCAGAAACCTCGACTGTCTCTTCTCGATGTTAATTATTAGTTTCCTTTTTGCTTCCATTTTCTCCAAAACTTCGTCGTTAATCACATGTTCAGTCCATAGTATCCTCAGCATCCTTCTGTAGAACCACATTTCTGTTGCTTCAGGTCTCCTCTCCTTCTTCGAGAAGATCGCACAACACTCACTGGCATACAGGAAGATAGATATCACACAACAGTATGAAACTATACTAATTATTAAATCTAGAGGGTGGCTCAAAATGTTTGACCTCTGTCTGTCTGTCTGTCTCTGTCTCTCTCTCTCTCTCTATATATATATATATATATATAGGATAATGATATATAAATTTTTATATATCAAGGACAATTTTGAGGAAAGATGTATGACAAAGTGGAAAAAGGTTTCGTGTTAAGCGTTTCGTCCTTTCAGACTTCATCGAACTAAATTTGTTTAGGTTGATGCGACT